CTAATAAACTCCTTTAAACTTTCGCTTTTCGGTACTCTCATTAGTGACCATTTTTAAATCCTTTATTTAACAAATTCACCATTAAGAGCCGAACTTTTTGTTAATTGAATTGGACCAGGGTATGCGATAAAATACGACGTTTTAGAGCTGTCAAAAAAATGTTGTTTTAAAATTACACTGACAGAAAAACGTTTTTGTTGTTACTTAGCTAAAAATATACGATGGTTGGAGAATCCGGGTATCGATCCTGGTACCTCCCGCATGCTAAGCGGGCGCTCTACCATTTGAGCTAATCCCCCTGCTTGTAAAACTCCAAGGTAATTTTAATCAGTAACAAACACTAAAATACTGAGACACACTGATCGTGATATTAGGCCATGATAATCATGGCGTAAATTTTTAAGATTTATATTACGATACGCTACGTACGGCCGAGATTGTTAGTATCATTCTATTACTGAGTAACAACGTATACGTAATGAAGTCATCTGAATTTTTGAGTTTTTGTTGTAGTCAAATTAACAGGGTTCTAGAATTCTGCATCAAAAAAATTATTTGCTCGCCCATGAGAAATCAAGATATCTTGCTCAACCTCGTCCAATAATTGTTAACTATTCTATCCTCTCTTGCTATTGTCCATTCAAATTGTTTTTCCGTCTCTTATTGGCTAAAATCTTCCGCGGCTAATATTCATAAGCAGCTATGATTTTTTGACCGAACTTGGAAGATGCTTGCGGGATATCAATTCTGATGACCTCAGCTGTACTGAAATCGACAGTAAAAGGGACATCAATGGGCGTTGCAGCTTATTAGCTGGATAAAATGGTAGAAGATTTCGTACGTTGTGTAAAGAAGAAATAGTTGAGCATCGTCAACTAGATAATGGCAAAAATGCCACTCAGCGGGTTTCGGCAGATGCTGATATTGATATGCTGATAATATGTGCTGGGGATTTATCTCATAGTGCGCCCGTTTAGCTTGTGTGTGGGTACTAAGACCGATATCGAGATACCCCATAAAATTATTGACATTTCTTTTTCTTTTTTACTCTTTTAAAATTATATATAATATAATATAACATAATAAGTCATGGGCGTTATAACTGTATTTTTTTGTGTATCACGGATCGGTGCTACTGAGGTTCAGTAATCAGTTTACTGCATCAGTTAAGCAACACGAAATTATTGAATCACTTTAAATTTATGCTGTTAATGCGAAGTCTCACTATGGTCACTGAGAGATTGAAAACAAAAAAAAAAACAAACAAACAACAACAAACAAATAAATAAGACAAAACTAAAAAATGAAAACAAACTACCGTCAGAGAGTTCTCCGCCAAATCTTCTTCTTTAAGGTCTGTTAAAATAAGAGATAAGTTTTGTCTTTTACTTCACATGTTTGTCAAAAAGGGCTTGTCCGGGAGTCGAACCCGGGACCTCTCGCACCCGAAGCGAGAATCATACCACTAGACCAACAGGCCCCGACAAGAACATAAATGGAATAATGGCTGCCCCTTTCTTTGTGTGGATCGACAGGTTGTTATAATAAATTGATAAATGCAAAATAACCTGTGGTAAAGCAAATGAAGAGCTGCTGAGGTCTTTATTTTCTCGTCATGGGATGCTCGGGCCAGAAGGAGCAAACCGTTTGCGGGCATAAAGGTGGCGTACATTAACATTTACGGATGAGTTAAGCGCGTAGAGCACCATGCGTAACCAAGGTGTTTGATAATCGTCTCAAGGTTTGATGTAGGTTCAGTTAATTTGGTTTTTGTCCTTGGACCAGTTCGTGTTTGTGTGCAAATCTCATGATTCAACAGCAAAAAAAAAAAAAAAAAGAATGTTACCTTACCTTGGTTGACCATCTAAAGCAGAAGCTAGCCATCATGATTTCTTTGAAATTAAATCGCGAATAAGAATAGAAATAATATAAAACCAGGATAAATCGGAAGTTAATCCGCCTAATATTTTTAAATAAATGACTGAGACTAATAACAACTTTGCCATCTTCTGAAAATACTAGATTGCATTAAAAAAATGTACGAGGCAAAGAAGAAGAAGTAGGCAAAGTCAGTGATGAGTTCAATAACAGTTGATGAAAATGACTTCGAGTTAATTACAAATTTCAAGAAAGAACGAGCTAAGAGAGCGAATCGCTAGCCCCTATGATAATTATTTGAATCTATTTCGAGTTTGCGCGCGTGCTGCGATGGTTATTTTTGTCTGCTGTTTTCGTGACCCGAATGGTCTACTTTCACGTGAACGTGACATGTTACGCCGCCAGACATTTGAAGTTTGACAGGCGTCATAGCAATTTAGTCCAGTCAATCTGCAAGTAGGCAGTTTTGAGGTTCAACATCAAACTTAAACAGAATTATTTTCAACGCCACGGGTATGGATTCGGCAACTAACTGTCCGTGGAAAGACGATTCAAAAGTCTTTTGTCTTCCTCTATAACTTCAAAACCGCTTGTGATACTGCCACTAAAATTACACAGAATATTTATTACCCTCCATTTCCAACTTCTAAGCATAACTTGATTGACACGGTGATGTAATTTCAGGTCATTTTGACGTCATAATGTTAATTTTATTTGAAGAACCCAAATTCCATCGATGTTGAATAGTAATAAATACTTAAATAGTAAGGTGTTAAACAGAATGAACAACATGAGGAAATTGGAATGCAGAAGTTGGCTAACACATTGATGACTTTTAGCAAGAGCAATGATGTTATAATGACGTCATTTATTACTAAAGAAGGATCTGGAACCGTCCACCATCTGGGATCCGCCATTTTATGTATAAATGTAATTCTATTCAATTTTGATTAAAACCCTAGGAAATGGAGGTGATCGTGATAGAAAAATTGGTCCTTGTTCAAAAGAATGCGTATGAAGCAAAAACTGTGCAAGTTGTGAAATTCGGACAAACTGAAGCCAGCGTCTGACATTTGGTCATTTTAAATAAATGTTTTTTTTTCTTAAATCAGTCGACCCACTAACAAGCCTGCATAATGAATTTGATAAAATATTACAAAATAAAGTGTAATGCTATAAATGAATAAGCAAAACTAGAAATCAACAACAACAACAACAAGACTATTCACCAGAATACAAAAGAGGTGCCTCTACATGACATTCCCTAGTTATGGACATCATGTACGAGTCTGTACAGAAAAGAGTCAGACTTCTTTGAGATTGGAGAAGGCCATCCTCGAAAAGTTTGTTTTAAACGAGGAAAGCGATGTTGAGGTTTTAACACTATCCGGTAGCAAGTTCCATTAACTAGAAGCGAGGAAAGCAAAGGTACGTTTGTCGGAGTTAGCGTTGGCTTTCGGGAGTTTCAAGTTTCCCCTGGCTCCATGCGTATCGATGTTATGTACTTTTAGTGAGAGGTAATGTCAAGTCAGTTAATATATAACTTGGCGATAGACCATCTAAAGCTCTTTAAAGACAATAGGAGCATGCATAAGTTTAATTCTGTCATGAACTGGGAACCATCCAAGTTACAGAAATCAAAGGTAGCGAGGGAGCTTTGGATTCCCGATCTAACATCAGTCTGGCAGCTTTTTTCTCAGCGAGAAATCCTATCAGGATTTCCTTTTGATGTATTGGCCCATACTACATAGCAATAATCCATTACTGACAGTAGAAGGCAATTGTAGAAGGCTAAGCGGGCATTATATGTCAGGTTGTGTCGAATGCGTCGAAGTATACCCAGCCGTTGGAAAAACGTTTTGCATATGTAATTAATATGCGTGGATCAGCTCGGCGTTGGGTCAATATGAACACCCAATAATTTCTCTGATGGTACTGTTTCAATTTGTGATTCATTAATGGTGATACTGAGATGATCTGGAAGCTTTGAAATTTTACTTGATTACGGCACAATCATGGCCTCTTTTTTTTTGGAACCATTTTATTTTTAGCATTTCAAAGAACTATAGGCTGAATGTCAGTGTTTAGGTTTTCTTCGACGTTTTGAAATGTCATATCTGAAGAGTACTGTGTAGCATTGTCAGCAAAAAAATCAATGTGCGTTTCATTCAGGTGAAGCGGGGAGATCTTTCATATAAATTATAAATATAAGGGGGCGTAGTACTGATCCCTGGGGACTCTAGATCATATTGAAGTGGCGTTTTGGAGGAAAGAACTTTACCGATTTTGACTTGAAAATATCTGTCGCTGAGATAGGATTCGATTGAAACCAGGTTACCACTGTCGTACCGAGGTCGTATAACTCTACCTTTTCTAGGAGTATTTGGTGATCAACAAGATCAAAGGCTTTCCTTAGAAATATCATAGACAAACCATGCAGCGATCTTCCCACTATCGATGCTGCCTAGTAGAAAATCAGTTACCTTGATCAATAATGACTGGCAGGAATGGTATTTAGGAAATCTGGATTGGTTCTCAGTATCGAGATCATGCTCTGTTAGATAATTACATAATTCATTAAACGCTTGTCGCTCTAAAACTTTGCAGAGTAAGGGAAGCACGGACATAGGCCGATGAAATTAGGCCTTTTTGTAGGAAAAAAAGGCACATTGTGAAAGGCATGGCTGTCAAAACTTTCGGATGCCATGGTAACGTCAATAATGACCTACACGTACACATGACGACGACTTTCAAATGTTCCCATGGCATATAACTTTAGTAAAAGTCGCCAAGTTTGGTGGTCATAGCTTAAACAGTACTGAAGTCATCAACTTTCTAGCGAAGGGCAGGGGAGTGACTCAAAAGACCCCTCCCAAATCTGAATAGGGTTAACCGTTAGCCGTGACTAAACTGTCAAAATTTGGTACGCATAGAATGTTGCATGATATCGCTGGTTGGGAATTTTATTCGTCAACGATTACTTGCTTACAGGCTGAGGAATCATGAAATTTCTTTTACAATTACGTCATATTAGCGGAACAGTGCACATTCGCAGCACAAAGTAATTTCCTGTAAGTAAGTTTCCCATTCATCCACACCTACTCTCTGTAAGAACGTTTGAGTCACGGCAGAATTTTTATGCACTCGCCTCTCACGGAACCTTGTCCACAGGACTGCTGTCCTCTACACACCATCACGTTCATAAACTCGGGTCTCTTATCAGGTCCAAGTCTAGTTGTAGCTGGACAAATGTCACAAAGCCCTTCTGTTTTAGACTCACAAGGACCTCTAGGTTCAGTAACGGGGAAGGAGGGGCCCGTCGACCCGTCCGTCGAGTCGCTGTCGCTAGACTCATCCCTCCTTAATCTGCTCCTGTTTGAATGCAAAAGGACTTGAGATTCCCGAGTTATGTTGTAGATTTTCATCCTTCTCAACATCCTTCTTCGAGTGGTAGGACACCAGGTTGGGAAATCTGTCCGCTTCTGCTTTGGTAAAGGCCATGTAGAAGGAATTGAAGTAGCCCAGTGGACCTGGCTTCAATCCCAAAAGTTTGAGGCCCTTTGTTAACTCTTCGCCATTGCGTGGAACTTCCCACTTCCAAAGCAACCCCCCCAAAAGAACAGGTAGGTTAGCTGCCAAGAACAGTACTCGAATGGCCATCTAACGGAGAGATAAGAAACATGAATATAATCAAAGGTCACCAGTACAACAGTTCGATTCGGTAAAGATTTCTCTGAGAAGCGCATGGAATCTTTAAAAACCCTCTTTCCATGGCCAGTTAGACGCCGAATCCAACCTTAGTGAATCTAAACTAAATGCAAGGGACATGCTAATTGGTCTGTTCCTGTTTATTTGAACCATGCCATGCTACATCGCTCCTTTCCACACTATCATATAGTTATTTCTCTTGCCTCAAAGCAAGTGGTATGCTGGGCAAAATTGTTCCGTGGGTTGGCGTTTTTCTACACAAAAATTAAATAAACCAAGGAGCCTCTATTATATTTTTCTCTTTTGAACTTTACTAAATTCCACGCATGGTAAAAAATCTTTTCATGTTGATCTCAACTTGTCATGAAAAAATATTTGAGGTTAAGTTCGTATATAGCCTACCCTTTTACCAACTAAAGTTTAACATAGATTCCAGGAAACATCGATCGCCGATGGGGAATAAACTTTTGTCGTATTCTATGATACATCAGCTTCTGAGAATAATTCTTAGTTCTATGCCCAGAGCCCAAAAAATCTGTTCGATCGTGTTCCTTTGGCAATGTACGCACTAATAAATCAAGGTCGTAACATGGTATATCCGGGACCAATTGATCCCTATTTTCTTGCCGTTATTTAATTCCTGAGCCCCATTTTCCCCCAAAGTTTGATCCCTGAGCCCTGATAAGAGAATTGATCCCCTCCATGTTTTTACCCAAAATTTTAACTCAGGCAACTTTTTTTATCTCCAAATATAGAATATAGAACATGCTCAAATGGGCTGATGAGAAAAACATTAACTTTAATTTTTAGTGCAAGTTGTAGGTTCTATCAGAGCTTTCTATTCTGCTATCCCTGTTGATGTTGTAGTCTTATGTGAATTTCCTCTTTCACTCTGTGTGTGTTACAGTGAGGATCACGATCAATAGCAAAATACCTGCTTTAAATGAAGTAGAAAAATTAAATGATGCAAGCCACAGGTTCTAGAGTTTAACAGCTTTTCTGTGTCAAGCCCATTAATGGCTTTTCCTGCCTTAATAACTATTGTACATTGTGAGAGGAAGCTAGAGGACATTTCTGATTGTAGGTCTTCCAGACCTACTCCTTCCAGCTTCAAATCTAATTGGCTCTGAAAAGTTGTCCGCTTGAGCTTGCTCCCCTTCCTCTTCGTCACCACCTGACGCGGGTGAATCATCTGATTCAACTGACCCCTAAAGCAATGCAACTAGGCGTTGTTCTTCAAGGCAGCTCAAACAGAAGTTGTTTCCATCTTTTATTATTTGAACTTTAATTCCCGATGATACACTCAGGTGAATTTCTATCGTCACGGTGCCCAGTCTGGTATACAAGGGGATCTTCTCCTGACTGTTCCAGCCATCTCAAACCCATGTGATCTTCCAGGAATGCGTCACCCGGCGTTACGGTGGAGATCTTTTAAAAGAGCTGCAAGGAAGAAAGGAATGATATACCTCTTTTAATTGTGCTTGAGAGCAACTGCGTCGTGTTTTGAATAGATAATCTCATATTCTTCGGCTGCGTCTTGAACTGTAGTTTGTCTTTCACTCCCTTGAACCTCTTTCAGCAGATCGCCGACTTCTCCATGTGCCGACGCATTCCTTCTGAACATACTCAGAGTAAGTTGAAGTGTACCAGCTCTTTCTTTGGTCTTCCCTCTCGTTAGTTGCTGTCGTACACCTCGTCCGAATTCTTCGCAAAGCTCTGCAATGCCTTCCTTTGTCGCTCCTTTCCCTCCGCGCTCGTTTCCTCGTCCATATGCTCCTTAAGGTTTGCTCTTGCCGTGCGACGTTCGAAGCCATACTGTTGCCTTTGGACCCAGCTTTCTCTGTGTGTAATGGCTTTGAGGACGGGTATAATTGATAAACGAGGATTGGTAGAGCCTCTCTATTGATTCTAAAAGGCAGCTGGGCCGCCGCGATGCGTAGTCGTTCAGAGCGGGTGTTCTCACTCCAATAAAAAATTCAGGCTCCAAATCTAAGGTGGTGATACTTTTTGGGGCCAACATATTGTCACTTAAAGTCTGTAAATTTTGTGCAACAAAAAATAGCCATTGCACGAATGAGGTCTGAAAAAACCTTGCAGGAAAAAAAGTAACCCATCCCCGGCTCAAAAATCAAATAGTGGGCCCCTTACTGGTGGCTCTTCATGCTGAGTGCTATAATATATTAAATTCCTGCAGACCTGGTATGCAACATTCCTTTCCCCAATTCAACCCTTTATTTTATAAAAAAAAAAAACAAAGAAAATAAACTATAAAGGTTTTGTTACTTTTATTTCACCGCGATAAGTCTTTGGTGTTCCACTTATTTTCACAAATTCTACACTGTAATTTCAGACTATTTATCATACAAGCGTTTTTCAGTTATACAGTAATGGAAAGTGTCCTTTACTTTCCCGGCCCAATACTAGTACTGGTAGGTGAACTGATTTCGGTTTCTCATCAGAGTTCGAGATAACCCTAAACCTCCATGCAATTAGATCAGATTTATTAAATTGCGAGAAAGCATTTATTTTGCAGCAAAGCGGGCGAATTCATTGTACTTTTGTTTACTACTTTTGACGCCGATTCTAATTATTTAAGTACTTTTAAGAGTTAAGTTACTGGTCAAAAAATACGAACCTCGATTTATAGTCGCCTTGTGACTTCCTTGAGGCGATGAGACAATCGGGACCTATACAGTAAATTCTGCTTTCAATGAATCGGTTTGTCTATTGTCCTGGCGGTATTGTTATGTTTGATCGGCCCAAAAACCACTCTATGCTTGGACCCTTGCCAGGAGTAAATCAGTCAAGGAAGTACTTACGTACCTTTCACTGTCACCGCTCTGTCACAGGATTTCTTTTTGTCCTTTTTCTTCTTCCCCATTTCTCGCAGAAAAAGATATGTATAAATCGCTTCCTCTACCTTCTGACGTTGACAGGGCGTTGAGGCGTTGCGTGACAAAGCGAGAAAAGTGACTTAAGATTCATATTAAGGTGCCCTCAACAATTAATAAATTAAGAATATGATACCATGTTTTCGTTAAACAACCAGGACTTCGTATGACAGGAACTGCCGCCAGCCGGAAGCAAGAATAGGCAATGTACCTCTGCCAGGAAATTCTATGGAGATTTTTAAGAGATTTTTAGACCGTGTAATAAATCTGATCCCTGATTCGGGCTCAAAAGCGTTGTGATCCCTGATCCCATTCTTCTGAGCCCTGAGCCCTTTCCTCTGAGCCCTGATCCCAGACATATTTTGGGCTTTGAGCCCTGAGCCCATATACCATGTTACGACCCTGAATAAATGATCTTCGACCATTATTCGTACAGTCTTAGCTTGAGTATAACCCACTAATATTGGAAAGCTATGAAAAATTGGACTTGTCAACCGACTCATAATAGACGTTAAAGCTATTACATACTCACACTTATTTAAGATGGTTGCAAAATTCTTCAATGTATACGTACTGTTTTTGTCTTGAATTCCTGCGTGGAGAGCCTTATTGCTTAGTTAGGTGATGATAACTAACTGTTCGAGGATAGTAATTACCACAGCTTAATATATACTCTTAATCAAACAAAGCTATTTATATTATACCTTACAAATATTTTGTTGTCAAGGTAGAGAAGAGAGCTGAATTGATCATCGGTTCATTTTGAACCTTGAACGTTCATTTTGTTTCCTTTGAACCTTGAACATCAATATCCAGTTTTGGAAACAGTACCGTACTTCCTTACAATTAATTATTCCGGCCCACGAATGACAAATCACTCAAAGGCCAGTTTTAAAATATGTAAAGAAATAGAAGGTCGATATAAAGTTACATGTAGGTTAACAAGAATACATGTAGAAGTTTGCCAGCGATTGAAAGACAGTTATACATTAATTGAAACCTTTATAATAAGAAGGAGAGAGGAAAACAAGCAAACAATATTTCTACTGAATTAATTAGCTGCCTCAGTCCGGTTGGCTTAATTAGATATAGCACCGGTCTGCCCTATCGTAAGGTTGGCACTAGCCAGGTCAATACCCAGGGTAATAAAACAACTGATGAGATTGTACTGCCTTGTTTTGACAACTACAAATGGTTAGACATTCTATTCTTTTCGGATAAGAATGAAAACCTAAGGCAAAAACAGAAATGCGATGTGCCGTCTGTATATTGCTGTAGCAGGTCCACATCAATTTTTAAGTTGACATATACGTAAATAACCTGCTTTATGATCAATGAAATAATGACATAATCATATATTTTCTTGTTGACGGTGCATTTGAGGGTGTACTTTAGCTGTTACGACTTCCTAGAAACCAGTTGCAATTTTTCTTGGCGAAAACGACACTGAGCCTTTAATCTTATGTTGAATTGAACTTTCAGGTCAATACCCAGGGTATTAAAACAACTGACGATGAGATTCTACCGCCTGGTTTTGACATCTACAACTGGTTGGACATTCTATCCTTTACGGATAAGAATGAAAACCGTAGGCAAAAATAGAAATGCGATGTGCTGTCTGTATATTGCTGTAGCAGGTCCACATCAATTTTTAAGCTGCCATATACGTAAATGTCGTAAATAACCTGCTTTATGATCAATAACATAATCACATCATCATATACATTATTTTCTTGTTGACGGTGCATTTGATGGTGTACTTTAGTTACTACGCGACTTCCTGGAAACCATTTGCGATTTTTCTCGGCGACGACGACACAGTCTTCAATCTTAAGTTG